GCAGTTTACCGACACAAAGAACGTCTGTGTTCGATTATAAATTGAACTCGTTCAAGAGCTCAGTCGTTGCTGATTCTGCAATGATTACGAGCATTTTTAAAAAGCTTTGGTTTGGCTTCAGAATATGAATTGCTGTGATATTCCTGAAGTGACAGGTCTGCTTTTTAAATGCTGAAAACACAACGTGACAGGACGCCCTTCACAGGACGCTCAGGAGAAATGTCAGACGACAGAGGTGAGGCTAAAGCACGATGGAGGCTCTTTTCATCGGCAGACACCTGAAAATGTTACCAGAAAAAACCCCAAAACCGTTACGTACGTTGTGTGTTTCCCATCGGGAGCGGCCCTTGATGGCTGCGCTGACATTTACAGGGGCCCCGGTGACATCGGGGCACTGGCTGTCTTTCAGCAGGGCGACGCGGCTGTCACAGGAGATCTGGGGGACAAAAATGGAGACGGACCAGTTAGCGTGATCAGACAATGGCAGCTCCCCTTTCCTGTGGAGGCAGTTTGATTACAGACACTTTGACAAACAAGTAGCTGACACCTGAAGCGGAAAATGTCCCTTGTCAATTAGATCCTCTCCTCTCTGTCCACTCTCCACACACACACACACACACACACACACTTGTCATCTCTGTCTAATAACGCCTTAACTGAGGTCCTGATAGAAAGCATTGAGCCGTGACTGCCCTATAATAACCTCATCCACCTTTACCTGCCCGCTGGAGCCCGTCTGAGGGGGGGGTCATGTTGAGGGTCTTCAAACGTCTTTTTAATTAGGAAGTTCCAACCTTTTAAGGCGAAATCATAAGTCTTAAGTAACATTAATATCAGTCTCCACCTTTATATTTGTGTGTTTTCATAGGTCAACATATATCCATATCAGACTTAATAGGCTTCTTTTTGACAAATTCATAATAAGTACTGAGTGTCGTAGTGTGTATTTTGTGTATGCAAGAGATGCCCAGATGTTTTCTAGATTAGCAAGAATATCTGAGTACTGCACATACTCAACAGCCCCATCATGCTTTGCGTGTCTTCTCACTGGTCAATGATGGACTGCGAGGCATTTTTTAACTATTTCCGCATATTATTTCATCATAAAATTCACTTTTGAGAATATTTGAATCGAGAAATCGACTGTGTAGATGGCGAATATCTGCAGTTTTATGCACATTGATGGAGAATTGGTTTTCTCACGCTATATGTATTTCATGTTCTACTGTCAGGATACAGTGTCAGTTTCAGTCGATCGTGACAAAAAGTTAGTTTTATAAAAATTACCTACTGCAGCTTTAATAGTTTATCGCCTATAGGACACGCCTAGACTGGACCTCTTCTTTGTCCATCTGTACCCAATATCTTACAAACATTTCACCTAAATATGGTCCATAACACTGCATCTGATGTTATTAGTATGGTTAGCTGGTCTAGATTAAATTTATCATGCAAAACATACTTTATGATCATCTTTTAAAATACAATTAAACGTATAAAATATTCCAGTTTGCTCCAGTTTTTATCTGTAATAATAACCCAATAATGTAACATAACACCTTGAAAGGAGTAAACGAGTACTTTCACTTTCGATGCTTCAGGACATTTTGCCGATAAAACTCTCACATTGCGATGGAGTAAAAGTCAGAAAACAAGCAGCATTCAAAGACATTCAGATGCATTTTAATGGCAGATTTTTAAACCCCAATAAATTACAGGAGTGACAGTGAGCCTGTAGTGTCAGCTGTCAGCACTGACTCGTATTGTGATTCAGTCTGTGTTTAACTTTGAACTCACAAGGTCAGACAGTAATTGACCTGCCAGGGATTCACTGCCTTTGATTTAAGACGGTCCTGATATGCAGCACATATTCCTCTGCTGGGATACAGAGCGGAGAGTGAATAATGCTGCTGCTGCTGATGGAAACTGTCTCTCAACAATATAAACATTTCTGGAAGGACGAATGTGGGAAAATAAACAGGGCTTCCTTGTGATTTAATTGGATGCTGTGTACTTAAAATTACTACTAACATCATAAAGTGTGACTCATAAATATAAAATGACAACTAATAGTTCATTTGTAGTAGTTTGTTTATTAGCTTGATGTCTGTGAGATTGTAAGCAAAGTGAATGCATCCTGTTTAGGGAATAACCTTTATTTGTATTTCATCATTAATGTTTATTTTATTTATAACTGTTTTATTTTAATATGTCTGTTTTTGTACAACTTCTGCTGCTTTCAATAAAATATTGTTTAAAAAATAAACAACATAGACAGAAATGTAAGTGTGACTTTAAAAATGGAGGAAAAAATGTTAATCAACTTTTTAGCTGTAACTAGAAGCTCTTCCACAGTTTTTCGCTCTATTTGGATGAAATTAGGCGTCTGTGGTTGCAGATATTGCACTAGTTGCACTTGTTTTATAAAGAGTAAATCCGAAGGGTTTGTTTGCAGTGGTGAACCCACAGAAACCCTCAAATAAAAGTACATTTTAAAGGTCGTCCAGCACTGTAATAAATTATAAGGTGGCACAACTTAATAAAGTTTAGTAACAAGTTGCACAGCTTTTTTGAGATTATTCAACTTTTAGAAGTCTAATATTTTACTTGAATGTTGGCTCAATTAATTTGTTGTCTCAGGTAAAGTTGACCCAACTTTTGTACAAGTACAAAAATTAAGTTAATTCAACCGATTACTTTAAGTCATTAGAAAGCTAGTTGGCCTACCATAATACTACAGTCACCCCCACAATGAAATACACAAACATCTCTTTTGTTTACAATTAAAACAGCTTCCTCCATAAAACAACAGTCTGTGGGTTGTTTGGTTAAAGGTGAATTAAATACTTGGATTTGGTTTGGATGCTAATGAAGTGCTATTACATCTGAAAAAACCCAACCTAACAAGCTAATAAACATTATAGATAACATAAATAATTAAAGGTTCAGTGTGAAACATTTAGGAGGCAGAAATATAATATAATATCCACAGGTATGTTTTCATTAGTGTATAATCACCTGAATATAAGAATCATTGTGTTTCTGTTACCTTAGAATGAGCTGTACAGAGGGAGCGGGTCCTCTTCTAGTGGCGGAGTCCACCACGTTTCTACAGTAGCCCAGCGTGGACAAACCAAACACTGGCTGTAAACTGGGACTTTCATGTTTTTTGAGTTTCGCAGTTTCGTAGTTTCTTCTACACACTTGAGTCAAGGGTTTTTATTTAGTTGCAATCTGCAACCCTCACCACTTGACGACACTGGCCCTTTAATTTTCTCCAAATAAACCAAGAAACCAATTGACGTGTTTGTAGGATTATTACAAGGAGCATTATCTAGACTGCACCTCCTCTTTGTCCATCTGTTCTCAGTATCTCACTCTATTGGTCAAAGACATCTTGAAAAAGCTATAAGCTAATGCTATTTGAGGCATTGGCAAGGAAATGTTTGTTTCCAGTATTAGCCAACACACCTGGATGTGAATATGTACATTAGGGGTTGATATTAGAGTTATATTGGTTGTATTATTGTAAAGGTTTGCTCATGTTTAGTGTTTGCTGATGAGTTCTGTTGTCACATAAAACACAAAAATAACATTTATGTTCATCAATTAAGTTGAATTTCTGAATGAAATCAGTGTTTGTGTGCAAGTATTCAGACAGAGATGAACTCTTCCTCCCATAGAGGAGCCTCCACTGTCATCTGCTGCCAACCACGACAGATGCCCACACACACACACACACACACACACACACACACACACACACACACACACACATACACACACACACCTGTGCTGGATCAGACACCTGTAATTCATGCTAACAGTACTGTATGACTCCACATAAACAGACACCTGCTGCCTCCAAACGCAGCACAGAAAAAGACCAGACACACACACACACACACACACACACACACACACACACACACAACATGTGTACATTCATAGGCCGGTCACGGAGGCAGAGCAGACGGTGGAGGTTGGAACTGGTGTTGAGCTCTGTGTGTGTGTGTGTGTGTGTGTGTGTGTGTGTGTGTGTGTGTGTGTGTGTGTGTTGGCCCTGGACTGAAGGGCCATGTGGGCCCCTACATGCGGTGGGACCACAGCCCGTCCAAAGGCCCGTCTGGATGTCACAGCGTGTACATTTTAGTGAATGTGTTGCACAAACATCACATCCAACAACAAACTGCAGACACTGAAGATCCAACTGTTCGTGTGTGTTCAGATCAGACGGGACGAAGAACCAACAGACACAGCAGGTAACTACAGGTATTACAGCTCAGCTAATAGTTCTGCTAACTGCTAACAGACAAACATAACATTATGTTCATCAATTAAGTTGATTTTCCAAATAAAATCAGTGTTTGTTAAGTCAAAATATTAAAAATCAACAATTTAAAATGACTATTATATAGTATTTACCTAAATACTTGAAAGCAGACTATAGGATATATTAAAGGGTAACTACTGTGCTTTTATTTTATTTTTGTCATATATAACGTTAAAATATTGGATGTTGATATTTTACGAGGCTAAAACGAGGTAAATGTAAGTTAAAGATGAATGCAGTGTTTCCAACCTCTATTCCTACTTTATGTGACTAATCAACGTCAGCTCGTGCAAATCTCGCTCTGACCAGGATTAATATGTAATTAAAGTTACATATTTTTTTGTTTTTACTCTGATGTCCTTCAATTCAATTACATTTTATTTGTACAGCAAAAAATCATAACAAAAGTTATATCGCGGCACTTTTCAAATAGAACAGGTCTAAACTGTACACCTTATTAAAATCATAAAATAACTAAGAAATATTGACTTTGTGATACTACTTCAATATGTTGAGAGAGTTTCTTATTATTCTGAGATACTTTATCAATAGCAAAGTGTATTTTAATTGGTGACCTATCAGCAGTGTGTCTGAACGCATCGTGTTCATAAAGTGATGGAGGGGTTAATTATCAGGAATTAATGGATGAAGAAATATGACAACAAAGTAAAGATAATATTTTATTATACTGATGAAAAACAGGAGTTATTGTACATTCAGCATTAATGTTAATTAATGTTCTGAAATCAGCAACATTACATACAGTCTGAACCCAAACTGAGACGTTCCACCTTAAACATGAGACGTCCACCTTAAATAGAAGAACTTCTCCTCTGACTGAATGACTAACAGCAGAATTCAACTGATGGAAACTGAATGAAAACACTGTTACAGACTGAATCATCTCCACTTCATCACATCAAACAGAACATTGTTCATATACTTTAGATCATTTAAACTTATATTTTACACATTGTGAACATTTCATAAGTGGAATTAAACAATCTGGAAACTTTGCAGCTCAAACATGCAGTTATTGATTAATTTGGATCAATTATTTGGATCCATCAGCTTCCACAAACTGGTTGCTGATCTTTAAGTCAAATTAATAAAAATGTAACATAAAATGACACAGTATCAATTAAAAGAAAACCAAACATAAAGATCAGAAACTAAATGAAACAATTTTACATCTGAAAAAGGTCGACAATAGAAACAAAAAGCTGATTTTCAAACAAAGTAACAACAAAACAAATCAAAACAATAAGAATAATAAACATGTTGTTCAGTGCACAAATAAATCTCATGAAAGTAAAAAAAGTCTTGTTTCTGAGAAACAACATGAGAAAAGTGATCTGGTTTTAAGAAAATAAAACATTGCTTTAATAAGATCTTACAGCTAATATAAAGCTAAGATAAGATAGACTTTATTTATACCAGATGGGGAAATTCACTTGTTACAGCAGCTCCAGATAGAAAATATCAGATAAGAAAAAAGAAATACACATTAAATAACAAAATAAAACAGAAAAAAAGAAGATATAAAGACAAAAAATAGAATATGTTTTTTGTTTTTTATTGTGTTGAAAATGAATCGACTGTTTAGTTTTTCATTGTTTTAATAAAAAATGATGAAAATAAGAATATCTCTGGTTCTTTAATTTAGGACAAAGACACTGTTTGTTATTTTGCTGTTTGAAGGAATTGTGTCTTATTCTAAGATTTTCTTTGCTAATCAGGGTACAAATTCTTAAATTCAGCTCAATTGGCAGATTTTTTTCTCAATACCAGAACATTTTATAATATTTAAGAATGTCTGTCTGTTCCTGCAGTGTTGGAATAATGAGGAACAGGTTTCAGTTTAACAGGTTCAATTCAGAGACTTTTATCTTTAAGAAATAAACATCATGAATATTGTGTTGCCTTTCAGGCATAAATTCGAATGAACTTTTTGACGTCGTCGTCAGTGAATAACTTCATAGTTACATTCTTAAGTTAGTGATAACAAATATTATTTACATGAAGAAGGCATTTGATTTATTTGTATTTAAAAACGTTTTATTTACACTTTAAAGCACATGTTACAGAGCTAAATGATAATTTTTATATTTGTCTTTGTTACAGTTTTCACTCTGACCTTGTAAAATGAGACAAAGAGCCACAGTAAAGAGCAACTAAAGCTTACTACGACTCAAGTCTTCATTTGAGAGGAAGTGAGGACAACATGAATATAATCATCCTCTTTATCTCTAACTGCTCTGTTACACTGTCACACTGACCTTCACTGGTAATATCTTCAGTGGGACTTCATCCCCAGTGATAATGTATGGAAACAACCTCTCAGTGAAAGTGTGTTTGAAGGTGTGTATGTGTGTGTTAGTATCAGGATCAGAGAACGACAGCTTTCCTCTGTTCCAGTCCAGATTCACTCTGATCCTCTGGACCTTCTTCTGAACTACAAGATCAGTTGATGGAGCTGGTGGTGACCGCACTGAGTATTTACCTTTATAGAACCCTATTCTCCAGAATCCAGACGGTATGAGTCCCTTCCTCTGGGCAGACTCTGCTGTCACACCTAGTCCCCAGAATGTACTGTCTCCAACCTCGACATCCCAGCTGTGAGTCCCTGAGTTAAAGCCCTCAGAGCCCAGAACAGAGCAGTACAGATCAATCCTCTCTGGATTATCAGGAAGCTGCTGTTCATCTCCTCCTCTCACACTGGTCAGATCTTCAGACAGGATGAGTTCTGGATTAGCAGTGTTTGGGTCCAGAATCACAGGACTGTAGGAGACCATGTCCTTCATCTTGTTCCAGATGTTGAAGGTCAGGTTGCCCAGGTGTTTGGCCTCGTCTATCAGAGCTCCTGAGGGCAGCTGTGGATCCTCCAGCAGGGGGCGCTGCTGGACTCTTTCCACTGCAGCCTTGTAGTTGTTCAGGGATGAGACGTCTTCAGGTCTCAGCTCCTCCTCTGTGGCTCTGACTGTGTCTGAAAGAGCTGCTATCTCTCTGCTCAGAGCCTCCATCTTCTCCTTCATCATTTGACTCTTCTGCTCCTCTTCCTCCCTCAGTGCAGCCAGCCTGGCCTCCTCTTCCTCTTCTAGAAACTGGTGAAGCTTCTTAAACTGCTCCTTAATCTTCCTCTCTGTGCGTCGGGCCTGGACCTTCATGTGTTCTGCTGTTTGATCAAACTTCACTTTAACTCCTTCACAAACCTTTAACTTCTCCTTTAAGGGCTCCAGAGTTTCCTGAAGGTTCCTCTTGTGTTGTCGTGCAGCTTCATCGATGGGTCTGATTCTGTGGTTGGTGTGTTTTTCTGAATCTCTGCAGACGACACACACTGGCTGCTGATGGTCCAGACAGAAGAGTTTGAGTTTCTCAGAGTGCAGACTGCAGAGAGCCTCTGAAGATCTCTGATCTCTCTCCTGTAAGAAACTCTCACACAGGTTCTTTAAAGTCAGATTACAGGGTGGTTCAACCTTTGAAGATCTTCTCTTACAAACTGGACACTCACGTGTCTGTTTCTCTGTCCACCAGCTCTTCAGACAGTCTTTACAGAAGCTGTGGCTGCATGACAGAACAACAGGATCTCTAAAGACATCATGACAGACCGGACAGCAGAGATCCTCCTCTAATCTGGAAGCCATTTTGTCTCTGAGTGCAGCTGGAAACAGCAAACAGCACGTTAAACATTAACTCAGTTGTGTTTCCTCACCCTGCTGTAAAATGTTGCATCAGTTACTTTCACTTTGAGTCTTTGAGTGTTTATTTCAGTCAGCAGCAGGTTGAACTACTTCAGTTTACTTCAGTACTTCATCCTGTAACTGTTCTCCCTCAGTTAAAGTCACAGATTTGTAATGAAGGTAAATCTTACCGTCTGTCTCTCCGTCTGTGTGTCTCTCCTCAGTGAGAACTGAACAGGAACAACCTGTTTCCTGGTTGGTCTCAGGTGATGTCAATAAGGGGCGGAGCTTTGTCAGCTCAATGCTGTGTCTCATTTTAAAGGGAAATATGATCCATCACACTGCTCTGAGATCAGGTTACGTAGAAAACAAGACCAGAGCAAATTGATTGTGTAATTTACTTTCTTTTAAATCATGTTGAAGAAACTTTTATGAGAAAATTAAAAATAATGACTCAATAAAGTCAAAGTTATATTTCACTAATATCTTTTGGTCGTTCTAGTAAGATCGTTTACATTTTCAGATTTTGAGATATTTTAAAAAACTAAATCCTCATTTCCTACTGATATCAAAGTATGAAACACAGAAACAAAGAGGGTACATCGGAGCTTTCACAGTCACTAGAAGAACATTCACAGCTTTCTGTAAAAGTTTCTGTTTGGTACTTATTTAAATAAAATACTAAAGTTAAGTAAGTATAGCAGTGCTAATGGAGCTAACTGTCCATGAGCAACTCTTGTCAGACTCTAAGTTGGTCTGATATAATCAGGAGTTGGTTGGTGATTAAAGCTGCCACCACATATGTCACCTTCCTCCAGATCAGCCAACAATAAAATGAAACTGCAATAGTTTCAACCAGTAGAGGGCGGTCACTATGCAGAGAGAACAATTCAAATACTTTCCACTAAAATGTCAAAATCTGGACCTGAATCAATCAACAACACTATTAAATACCCAAATACAGAGGGGGGGTTACAGACACACACGGTACAGTGAGCACGCGAACAGGAGGGAGGTAGACGAGAGCGAGAGAACTTTGTGCTACATAGACAGAGACACTGGAAAGGTGAGGAAAATGAGTGACAGGAAACGTAGTAAAGTTTGGGCAGAGTGTCGACTGCAAAGTTAAAATTTCATACGGAGCAGCTTTTTGTCTAATTGAGATGAGTCTTTGTTTTTGTATTTTATCATTTATTTTATAGCAAATGTTCTGTTCCATGTTGAGTTTATTAATAAAGCCATATAAATAATAAATATTTGATATAATGTATGTTTTTACATTAGTAATTCATTTCACACATCATTTGGTAATACATTAATTTAAGTAACAAAAAATCTGAGGAGCCACTTTGGAGGTGAAAGAACCGGCTCTCTAAAAAGAACCGGAGTTACCATCACTGATACCCGCCTACACTGGAACAAGACCCCCTGAAAGAGGCCCAACTCGACTACAAACAATGCGGCCACTTTGAACCAGAGCTCTCAGGTGTTGGAGCACTACAACAGTTCATGGGATTATAACAAAGTGTACAAACAACATGCTGTATTCTGGGATTAGGGGGGACAACAGGATCTGGAATTTCACCAATGTTTTTGTTTGGTTTGTTTTCTCAATCATGTTTTGTATTAGAATCTGATTTTAATAAAATATATGGAACATTGTCTTAATAAGATCTAACATCTAATATTGAGGTGGATTTAACCAGTAACAACAATGGTTGCATAATATCCCAGCAGAGGAACCAGATTATTGTCTTTATTTTCAGAGTAAGAGCATTTGCACAACTTCTCAGTTTAAGAGAAAGTCGTCTGGTCCCAGTGTTGGAAATGAAGCAGCTGTTTAGTTTTAATTGTGTTAAAAAATGATAATAAGTTTCTGGTTCCTTCATTTAAGACAAAGTGTCAGCACACACTCTTTGGTCACTGTCGTCAGTGTTTCTTCCAGAGAAACCCAACAGGTGTTTTAATAAAGAGCCTCCACAGGGTGATCACACACACACACACACACACACACACACACACACACACACACACACACACTGCAAATTATGTGGCACTTGCCAAGATTTAAAATCTCATTTTTAGACATCATAGATAATTTGCCTCGTTTTAAAAGTTATTTACTCATTTTTAATTTGTCATTTTACAGTATAATCTCAAATTGAGCATGAACACGTCTTTTATGTCTGTTTTAGTCGAGGAATCTTAAAACGGAGTGAATAACTCTTAAAATAAGCTAAATTAGTTCTTTCACCAAAATAAAACTTGATTCAAGATTCAGTCACAATTCAAGTTGCTTGATTTAAGAATCACATATAAGGCCTCAATGACTGACTTCAAACATGTTGAAACAAAGAGAAACTATACAACCTTAGATACAATTACACATTTACAGTAGAGATGCAACAGGCTGATGTTCAACAATCAGATCCTAATCTGGTGTTTAAAATATTCAGCAGCTGATTCTGTATTATTTTAATGTTTTGTCTGTTTTTCACATGAGCTATGATATTTTATATAGTATGTCGGTGAGCGACAAGCAGGCTGCTCCCCCTGCAGTCGTCAGATACAGAGGGTGCGTCCGTGTAATATGATTTTAAGGATAAATGTGGTATTTTAAAACGTATTTTTAATATTTGTAGTATGTTTTAGCATTTTCTGCACATGCTCAGTTCATGATGTCAGTCATTTGCGTCTAGCGTGGTTGAAGCGATTTCCCGCTCTGAAAGAAACGACACCGCTGAAAAACTTGTGCAAACTTATTCAAGGTGAGTACGTTAACCTACTTAACCCAGGAACGCCTTGTTATTCAGAGACAAAACCGCGGTTAACACAAGTAGCCGTGTTGTAATGTTCACACTCTCCACCATATTGTCCTTATCGTTCTGTTCCAGCCTGGCGAGGACCCTGGGCTCTACCTGGAGAAGCAGCCTCTCTCCTCCCCAGTGCTACTTTTTGATGGAACGACCAGCATCGTTGCTGTGGGAAACAGGCCAGTCTGCAACCTCCCCCAGGAGGATTTTTGGGAAGGAATTTGGCTGTTAACGGCGTACTACTACACTTTGCACTTGACATACCCAAAGTGTGTTGCAACGGTCGTCTCTGTCATTCAGACCGTGGTAATTGGTGATGCCATCCACGATCAAGACGCCACTGCCGCATATAAAAAAGCTGAATGGAAGTCGTTCATTGAAAAATAGGTGAATGGTGAGAAGGATTGTGTCAGGTCAGTTGTTTTGCTTTTTGTTTGCTGTGCCTTAGCTTGTTTTGTTCATCACTTGGCTAGCACATAACACAAGTTGTGTAGGTGAGGTCCCACACATCCTTACAAGGTTTTCTTTTTTTGCATTTTCCAGAGGTCTTATATGGCACTTTAACTGAGACGTAACTGTGCATTTTATGAGTTTTATTTTTCTTGGATTGTCTTTTTGGCATTTACAGTACAACGACCACGCCATCGAATGTATGAAATAAGAAAAGTTTATTGCACATAATGAACAAATGTGAACCAATGTGGTATACTGAGGGATGAGGGGTGAAGGTAGGTTCGAGGGATGAAGGTAGGTTCGAGGGATGAGGGATGGAGGTAGGTTCGAGGGATGAGGGATGGATGAGGTCGGAGGAATGAAGATCGGTTGGCGGATCGATGAATGGATG